ACGGGGTCATAAAAAATGGGGTCAATTCCAAAACCCGTAAACAATTCAAGAACATTAAAAAAGTCATATAGTAACAATGATACACATAATAAAAATATAAGCACGGACACATAAGGAGGCACATATACATTGACACAAACACTTCGATAACATAAAAATAATAGAGTAATAACCACACACACACGTTACACACATCAAAACACAAAAAACACTCGAGATAATAAAGATACAGACACACTATCATAAAAACATACATACAGATACACCATAAAAACATACACGCCAAAATAAACATTGTGCAAATAAAAATGCACACAAAAACACATTGATTAAAAGAATACACATACACTAATGAAAGCACACCCCCCCCCCTTACATCAAAAAACATACGCACACTAACTCACCAAAAACACGCACAGACATGCACATACTATTACACAAACACACCCATGTGCACAAACCATCACTGAAACAAACACACATACACACACTAATCCATACAAACCACACACGCTATTTTAACAAACACTAATACACCAAAAAACACACATAATGCATCAAAAAACATAGACACAAACACAAACACACACACACACACACACTAATACACCATCCCAAATCACACACGCCAACAAATACACCATTCAAAACGTACAAACATACAACACGCAATAATACACCAACAAATACACAGATTGATGCACCTAAACACACACACACACACATTCACAAAAATGCATACATTTCATCTCATGTAGTGTTAACATGAGCTAATCCACCAAAATCAAGGACACTAACATACAATAACACACGCTATTACACGAACATAAATGCACGCACTAATACGCTAAAAAACACACACTAATACACCAAAACAAACAAACACACACAGAGACACACTAGCTAATCAGTATAGGCATGCACATCCACACACAGTGTTTACACACAAATATTCCAAAAAAACACATACTAACACAATAAAAACACCCTATTATAGAAACACAAATTAACACATATACAGTAATATACCAAAAAAAAAAAATCCAAAAACATATGCTCTGTTCACACACTAATACACCAAAGAAACACACTACACTAATACACCAAAGAAACAGACACACTTAAGTTTTGCCCAACAGTGCCAAAGCTTGGGGGAACAAGGCTAGCCAGACCCTTGGTACCCCTCAACTATCTTTACCCCCAATATATGTTTTGTGGAGGTTTTCCAAAGCGACTTAAGCGGACATCTTCTGAACCGAGGAAAATAACCACGAGAGCCTAGGGCATAACGCCTACACTTTTGTCGAACACCTTAGCTATATAGCCTTGCTTTGAATTCAAGGGGTGTCATTGTGCAAGACGCCACCCAGACACGTCCATTTCAGCGCCCAAGTCAATTACGGTCAGAAAACTAGTGTCCTTTTGTCATAAGTAGCAAATTTAAAGATCATTTAGAATATGATAATTAAATCAAGTTTTTTACTACCAGTCAAAACTTTCAAACAACCACCACAATTATTAAGAAAGCACATTATTAATATTTAAAAATGAAAACTAGAACATCTACTCAAAGATATTCAAAAGAAATGGTCATGTAGACATGCAAGAAGTCGACCTATATGCTCCAAAAATATGTGTAGAGTTGTGTCACTTGAACCTGGATTACCATAAACAAAAACCGCCATTGTTCATTAGGATCCCAACCAACATGGTGTAGGACCTGCAAGTTTCAACATCAGTGTCTTTATAGTTGAATAACTGCAAGAAATCTTAAGCAAAAGATGGAGATCGGGGATGATAATTAAGAACTTCACAACAAGAGAAGAAAATAAAACGCTAACAAAATCAATACCATACAAAACCCAAAGAAAAATCTACACCTTTCACAAGCCACCGCTTGGATTGGTGCTTTATGATCCTCCCAAATTTAAATAGGTTGGTCTTTCCTCCATCATCTTTAAGCGACTGCACTCAACAACTAAGAAAAAAAATAAATCATAAGCATTTTAAGTAGAAACTACCATATGCACTAAAATATATGAAAAAAATAACATTCACGTAGACATGCAAGAAAACTTCATAAATGCTTTAGATTATTGCCTTATAAGTTGTAAGCCTCCCAAAGTTCGACATATTGGTCTCTCCTCCACCATCTTAATGTACTGCAATCAACAGGGAATATCTAACCTCGTGACAAAACAGTTAAATGGTATGAAAATTTTAAGGAAATAATTGATAACAGAGTAGTCACATACCTTAAATGATGACCCATAGGTTATAGGAAAGGCCAAACTATATTTTTATCAAACCCCCACACCCCCAATAGACTAATAAACTATTATGAAGGAAAAATATAAATCTTAAGCATTTTAAATAGAAACTATCATATGCACTAAAATATATGCCGAAGAAATGGTCACATAGACATGAAAAAAAACAAATCTGCATGCCCTACGAAAGTATGCACACATGTTCTCCTTTTCAAAAAATCTAAAGTTGTGTCATTAGAACTTGCATTACGATTGACAACAAGTCACATCAGTCATTCCTACCCAAAGCATAGTTTGATAATGGTAAGAAATCTTAAGCAAAGGACATAAGTTGATCGTTGAGATCATAGGAAAGATATTTAAGAACTTCAAGGTTCAAGACAAAAAAAGAGAACAAAAAAGCTAAAACAATCATACCTCAAATCGAGGAAAATAATGTTCATCTATAAAAAACTTGCCTAAAGACAACTTCACCACTGCTTAGATTGCTGCCTTCTAAGCCTCCCAAAGTTCAAGAAGTTGGTGACTCCTCCACTGTCTTAATGTACTGCAATCAATAGTAAAAATTTAACCTCCTGAAGATTTGAAAGAACAAAAAACTGTAACGAAGTAATTGGTAACAGAGGAGTCACATACCCTAAATGATGACAAGTCGACCAATTATAGGAAAGACCAAACTTAATTCCATCTCCTCCCTCTCTCCCCACAAACAATTACCAAAGAAAAATATAAATCGTAAGTATTTTAAAGTATTGTTTGATAATTGACAACAATCCACATCAATCATTCCTATCTAAAGTGTAGTTTGATAACCGTAAAAAAGCTTAAGCAAAGTACTAAAGTTGATCGTTGAGAGATCATAGGGAAGATACTTAAGAACTTCAAGGTTTAAGACAAAAAAGAGAAGAGAAATAAGGAAAAAACTTACACAATCATACCTCAAATCAAGCAAAATAATGTTCACGAGTAAAAAGGTCGCCTAAGAGTTACTTCATAGCTGCTTAGATTGTTGCCTTGTAAGCTTCTCTCAAAGTTCAACAAGTTGGCCTCTCCTCCATTGTCTAAATGTACTCCAATCAATAGGAAATATCTAACCTCGTTAAATAATAGTTAAATGGCATGAAAATTTTAAGGAACAAAAAATTGTAAGGAAGGAATTGACAACATAGCAATCACATATCTTAAATGATGAACAATAGCCAAACCATATTTCTATTGCCCCCCACAAACAATTACTAAGAAAAAATATAAATAATAAAATTTTAAATAGAAACTACCGTATGCAGTAAAATATATGCAAAAAAAAGTCACGTAGACATGCAAGAAAACCATCTTCTATTCCCTACAAATGTATGCACACAGTCCCTTTCCGAAACTCAAAAGTTGAGTCACTACAACTTGCATTATCACTGACAACAATCCATATCAGTCTTTTTTATCCAAAGTATAGTTTGATAACCGTAAGAAATCTTAAGCAAATCACTAAAGTTGAACGTCGAGAGATTATTGGGAAGATACTTAAAAACTTCAAAGTTCAAGACAAAAAAAGAGAAAAGAAGTAAGAAAAAAGCTTACACAATCATACCTCAAATCAAGTAAATAATGTTCAATTGCAAAAAGCTCCCTTGAAGGTAACTTCACCACTGGTAGATTACGGCCTTGTAAGCCTCCAAATTTCGACATGTTGGTCTTTCCTTTACCGTCTTAATGTACTGCAATCAATAGAGAATATCTAAATCTAACTTTGTGACACAACAGTTAAATGGTATGAAAAATTTTAACGAACCAAAAATTGTAAGGAAATAATTGGAAACAGAGGAGTCATATACCTTAAATGATGAACTACTGGTTATAGGAAAGGCCAAACCATATTTCTATCAACCCCCACCCCCAACACACAAACAAACAATTACCAAAGAAAAATATAAATCATAAACATTTTAAATAGAAACTATCATATGCACTAAAATATATGCTAAAGAATTGGTCACTAAAACATGAAAGAAAACAAACACTTGTATGCCCTACAAAGGTATGCACACATGTTCTCCCTTTCCAAAACTCTAAAGTTGTGCCATTAGAAATTGCATTATGATCGACAACAATCCACATCAATCATTCCTATTTAAAGTATAGTTTGATAACTGAAAGAAATCTCAAGTAAAGCACTTAAGTTGATCGTTAAGAGATCATAGGGAATATACTTAAATTTCTCCAAGGTTCAAGACAAAAAAGAAAAAAGAAGGAAAAAACTTACACAATCGTACCTTAAATCAAGTAAAATATTGTTCACTTACAAAAAATTCACCTAAAGGTAACTTCATAACTAATAGATTACTGCGTTAAAAGCCTCCCAAATTTCAACATGTTGGTCTCTCCTCCACCGTCTTAATGTAATGCAATCAATAAGAATATCTAACCTCGTGACACATTGGTTAAACGGCATGAAAATTTCGAGGAACAAAAAACTTTAATAAGTAACTTGCAACAAATGAGTCACATACCTGCAATAATGACAAGTCGACCAATTATAGGAAAGACCAAACCATATTTCTATCTCCTACCCCCTCCCCACAAACAATTACTAAAGAAAAATATAAATCGTAAGTATTTTAAATAGAAAGCATCGTACACAATAAAATATATGTAAAGGAAATAATCATTTGGACAAACAAGAAAACGACCCGTGTGCCCTACGAAGATATGCACACATGTCCTACCTTTCCAAAGCTCTAAAATTGTGTCATTGGAACTTGCATTATCATTGACAACAATTCACATCAATCATTCCTATCTAAAGTATGGTTTGATAACTATAAGAAATCTTAAGAAAAATACTTAAAGTTGATCGTTGAGTTGTTTTCTCTGAGCTGTATAAGTCTGAACAACATTACTGTGAAGATGAGTTGTTTTCCCTTTTATTCATCAACTGGTTAGTAATAAGGGAAATGGCAGAATTACAGGGGCAGCCACTATGGAGGAAGTGAGATCTATCGTTTTTTCCCTATCTGCTCAGAGTGCACCTGGTGCTGATGGACTATCTGGTAAGTTTTTTCAAGAGGCATGGGATGTGATTAAGAAGGATGTGGTGGATCCTTTGAATTTTTTCTTGAGAGGGGGGAAAGTACCTAGATTAGTCAATGCTACACTCTTAACCTTGATACCTAAAAAGCCTAATCCTATGTCCTTTATTGATTTTAGGCCAATTAGTTTTTGCAATTTTCTTTATAAAATTTATACCAAACTTTTGGCAAATAGGCTTGCTCCTTTGTTACCTGTGTTGGTGTCAAGTGAGCAACATGGCTTTGTTAAGGGAAGATGCATTAGTGAGTGTATTTCTCTAGCACAACTAATTTTTGGTGAATTGGATAGGAAGGTGGAGGCAAGCACCTTATTTCTTAAGTTGCATATGATTAAAGCCTATGATAGGCTAGCGTGGGACTTTTTGTTGAGAGTTCTAGCTAGCTTTGGGTTTTCAGAGTTATTTGTGAAGATCATTGCTAACTGTTTGGAGAACCAATACTTCTATGTTTGTCTCAGCGGGCAAAAGAGAGGTTTTTTTCCCTCTTCTAGATTTCTTAGGCAAGAAGATCCCATTTCTCCTTGCCTGTTTATTCTTGCTGAAGAAGTGCTAAGTAGGGGATTGAGGAAATTATATCTGGATGGGTTGGTGAAAGGGTTTCATCTGGGAAGGGGTTCCTCTTTGGTCAGTCACCTGTTGTTTGCTTCTGACACCCTGAACTTTTTGAGGGGTTATAAACAGTCAATGGTGAATTTGTTTGCTTTTGTTAATAGGTATGAACTGAGTTTTGGACAAAGGGTTAGTCTCCAAAAGAGTTCTATGTATTGTTCTAAGCATATTACTATGTCAAGGAAGCAGGTATATATTGACTGGAGTGGCTTGTATTCCTATTAAACAGTGTCCATATACATATTTTGTTTGTCCAATTATAAAAGGAAGAGCTAGGATCAGATTTTTTGAAGAGATATCGTTTAAGTTTAGGCAAAGGTTAGAAGGATGGTATGCAAGGATGTTATGGGTAGGATTTTACTTGTTCAGTATGTGCTGAGTATTGTTCCTATCCATTTGCTGGCCTGCTTGAACTTGCCAAAGACTATCATCTCTAAGCTTATGGCTTTAATGGCAGGATTCATTTGGTCTAGTAAGATGAGTGTGAGGAAAAGACACTGGATTTCTTGGGGAAGTTGACTTTGCCTAAAAAGGAGGGTGGTTTGGGATTGAGGAAGTTCGAGGAGGTGCAGATGGCTTTCTGAATGAAGCAGGCTGGAGTTTATTGCAAGGAACTTCTCTTTGGGCCAAAGTTTTTTCTGCCAAATTCTTGAAGGGGAAGCATTTATTGAGATGCTCAGGGAAGAATCACTTTAAATGCCTTGAGATGCTTAGACCTTATTTTGAAAGGGTGCTCGTGCAGTCTAAGAAGATAATTGGTGATGGTACTCACACAGACATGGTCCTTTGTCGTGTAAAGTGGAGGATTTGCCACAAAGTTTCCCTAAGATTTCAGAGTTGGTTACAGGTTCTCAGTAGCAGTTGGGTGCAGTGGAGGATTTCCTGACTGAAGCGCTGAGGCATGAGGTTGTGAATTCTGATCTGATGTTATCTGGGACCTATGATAAATTGGTGTGGCAGAGCTCTTGTGCTGGTAATTTCTCAGTTAAAGCAGCTTAGCAGAAGAGTAGGTTGAAGAAGAGGTTTGAATGCTACTGCTGCTGGCATTTGGGATATTCAGACTGCCCCTACTCCTAGTGCTCAGCTAGTAGGTTGGAAGATTTTAATGAAGGCTTTACCTCTGGATGATAGAGTTAAGCAAATTGGCATTCCTGTGGTAAGTAGGTGTTGTTAGTGGTATCAGAAGGAGGAGAATGCTGAGCATCTAACATCTGTTATACAAGAATGATTATAACAAGTAAGAAAGACAAGGGAAAAAAAACATCTGTAAAATACAATTTGCTAAAAAAATAAAAGTCAATTGAAGCAGGAGAAACTCATATACTTATCTTTTCACTCCTAAATTTGCTTTGCAAATGCATCTCAATCTAGTTTAACCCCTTATTCCTTCATAAGCTAGCATCCATTTTACAAACAACTGAAAGAAAGACACATGAAATTAATTATGCACAAAAAAAATGAAAAAAGCCTTCGAAACAACAAAGAGCAATAAGAAAAAAAAAAACGAGTGACATGTCCACTCACTTATTCAACAAGCACATATATACACAGACTAGATAACTTCATAACTGGGAGATTACTGCCTTGAAAGCCTCCCAATGTTCAACATGTTAGTCCCTTCTCCACCGTCTTAATGTATTGTAATCAATATAAAATATCTAACCTTGTGACACAACAGTTAAAAGGCATTAAAATTTTAATGAATAAAAAATTGTAAGGAAGTAATTGGCAACAGAAGAGTCATAATAAACCTTAAATGATGATATATAGGTTATATAAAAGAGAAAACCATTTTTTTATGAAGCCTCCCCCCCCCCCAAAAAAAAAAAAAAAAACCAAAACTACAAACAAACAATTACTAAGGAAAAATATATATCAAAAGCATTATAAATAGAAACTATCATATGCATTAAGGTATATGCTAAAGAAATGGTCACGTAGACAAAAAAGAAAACAAGCCTGTATGCCCTGTCCTCTCTTTCCATAAAGTTGTGTCATTAGAACTTGCACTACCATGACACCAATTCACATCGGTCATTTCTATCCAAAACATAGTTTGATAACTATGAGAAATCCAAACCAAAGAACATAAGTTGATCGTTGAGATCATAGGAAAGATACTCAAGAATTTAAAGGTTAAAGACAAAAAAGAGAAGAAAAAACCTAACACAATCATACCTCAAATCAAACAAAATAATATTCACCAGTAAAAAGCTCACCTAAAGGTAACTTCATCACTGCTTAGATTGCCGCCTTGTAAGACTCCCAAAGTTCAACAAGTTAGTGTCTTCTCAAGTGTTTTAATGTACTGCAATCAACAGAGTATATCTAACCTCGTGACACAGTAGTTAAACGGTATGAAAATTTTAAGGAACAAAAAGCTGTAAGGAAGTAATTGGCTACAGAGGAGCCACATACCTTAAATTATGACAAGTCGACCAATTATAGCAAAGACCAAACCATATTTCTATCTCCTCCCTTCCTCCCCTCCCCACAAACAATTAGTAAGGAAGAATATAAATCGTAAGTATTTTAAATAGAAACTATCTTACGCAATAAAATACATGTAAAGGAAATAGTCACGTAAACAAGCAAGAAAACGAACCCGTACGCCCTACGAAGGTATGCACACATGTCTTCTATTTCCAAAGCTTTAAAATTGTATCACTAGAACTTGCATTATCACTGACAAAAAAAGAGAAGAGAAGTAAGAAAGAAGTTTACACAATCATACCTCAAATCAAAAGCAAAAATAATGTTCACCCATAGAAAACTCGCCTAAGAGGAACTTCATAATTGCTTAGATTGTTGCCTTGTAAGTGTCTCCCAAAGTTCAACAAGTTGGCATCCCTTCCATTGCCTTAATGTACTGCAATAGTAAAATGGTATAAAAATTTTAAAGAACAAAAAATTGTAAGGAATGAATTGACAACATAGGAGTCGCATACCTTAAATGATGAACAATAGACCAATTACGGGAAAGACCAAATCATATTTCTATCGCCCCCCACAAACAATTACTAAGGAAAAATAAAAATCATTACATTTTAAATAGAAACTATCGTATGCACTAAAATATATGCAAAAGAAAGTCACGTAGACATGCAAGAAAACAAACTTGTATTCCCTATGAATGTATGCAATCGTCCTCCCCTTCCAAAGCTCATTAGAACTTGCATTATCATTAACAACAATTCATATCAGTCATTCCTATCCAAAGTATAGTTTGACAAGTGTAAAAAAAGAGAATGAAAAAACTTACACAATCATACCTTAAATTAAGCAACATCATTTTCACCAGCAAAAAACTTGCCTAAAGATAACTTCATAACTGGTAGATTATTGCTTTGTAAGCCTCCCAAAGAGTCAAAAACTTTAAAATAGTCACATAATAACAAAGATACACATAATAAAAATAAAAACACAGACACATAAGGAGGCACATACACAAACACTTCGATAACATAAAAAAAATAGAGTAATAACCACACACACAAACACGTTATACACATCAAAACACAAAAACACTCGAGATAAGAAAGATACAGACATACTATCATAAAATCATACACGCCAACAACCACACCCAATAAACATAAAACCTATACACCAAAAATAAACATAAAAACGCACACAATAACACATTGATTAAAAGAATACACTTACACTAATGAAAACACACCGTCCTCTTAAATCAAAAAATATACACACACTAATACACCAAAAAAATACACACTAACACACCAAAGACGCACACACACGTACATACACTATTACACAAATACACGCATATGCCCACACCACCACTGAAACAAACACACATAAACAAACTAATAAATACACACCCATGCACGTTGTGTTAACAAACACTTATACACCAAATATACACATAATACATCAAAAAACATAGACACCAACATACCAAAACACACTATTACACAAACACAAACACAACATACACCCACACACTAATACACCATCTAAAATCACACAAAAATGCATACATTCCATCACAAGTAGTGTTAACACAAGCTAATCCACCAAAAACACAGACACTAATATACAATAAACACGTTATTACACGAACGCAAATGCACATAGACACTAATACACTAAAAAACACACACATTAATAAAAAAATCCATTAATATACAAAAAAAATATATCATAAAACTATGAAAAATACCGGGGAACATTAAGAATAACATATCATAAAATAATAAAATTAATGTTTCCCAGTATTTTTCATAGTTTTATGATATTTTTTTTGGTATAAGGAAAAGAGTCGGACAAAAGGGCTGATCCGAACCGAAAGCAAAGGTCGACGCAATAGATCAGAAAAAGGGGGTAGTATAAGAAGATCAAAAAGAAAGAAGGTTGCAGGGATGCCGCAAAAGAAAAGGAAAATCCACAATCAGTTGCTGAGCTGAGACTTTTTCCTTTCTTGAAAGAAGCCAAAGCAACAGAAGAGAATCTTTCTCGGTTTCACCTAAACCAAAACACACACACAACCCAGCTAATCAGCATATGTATGCACACCCACACACCGTGTTAATACACACTAATATACCCCCAAAAAAAACGCAAAACATATGCTCCGTCCACCCACACTCATACACCAAAGAAACACACTCATATACTAATACACCTAAGAAACATAGACACACTTATATTTTGCCTAACGGTGCCAAGGCCTGGGGGCACAAGGCTAGCCAGACCCTTGGTGCCCCTCAACTATCTCCTCCCCTTATTTATGCTTAATGGAGGTTTTTCAAAGCGACTTTAGCGGACATCTTTTGAACTGCAGAAACATAACAACGAGAGCCTAGGACATAGCATCTGGACTTTTGTCGAACGCCTTAGCTACATCGCGTTACTTTGAATTTATGAGGTGTCATGATGCAAGATGCCACCAAGACATGTTCATTTTTGCATCCTAGTCAATTAGGGTCTGAAAACTAGTGTGTCTTTTTTCATAACTTACAAATTTAAAGATCATCTAAAATACGATAATTACTACCGGTGAAAACTTTCAAACAACCACCACAATTGTTAAGAAAACACATTATTAATATTTAAAAATGAAAAATAGAACATCTACTCAAAGATATTCAAAAGGAATAAAAATGTAAACATGCAAGGAGCCGACCTGTATGCTCTTCAAAAGTATGTGCAGAGTTGTGTCACTTAAACCTGGATTACCATAAACAAAACCGCCATTGTTCATTCGTATCCAAAGCAATATGGTGTAGGATCTTCAAGTTTTAACATCAGTGCCTTTGTAGTTCGATAACTGCAAGAAATCTTAAGCAAAGGATGAAGATCGAGAATGATAATTAAGAACTTCACGAGAAGAGAAAAGAAAACGCTAAAAAAATCATACCGCAAAATAAATACTACACAATACCCAAAGATAAACCAACCTCTTGGATTGCCGCTTTATGAGCCTCCCAAATTTTAATAGGTTGGTTTTTCCTCCATCTTTAAGGTACTGCATTCAATAAGCAATATTACACATTGAATCATAGCAAAAAAATTTAAGAAATAAAATACTATAAGCAAGTAATTGACACAAAAATTCAAGTAATTGTCACATTGAGTTATGGCACAAAAAATGTAAGACATAAAATATTGTAAAGAAGTAATTGGCAGCAGAATAGTTTTATGCCTTGAATAATGACTAGTAGAAAAACTACAGCACAAACATGTAGACAAAAGAGACTCATAAAATAACACTTTCAAATTGAAGATCAATTGCACCCATGCTCCCCACACTATTCAGATTATGGGAAACTGACTTACCACATATAGAGTTTTTTGTATTGGAGTTGCTAACCCAAAGAGAGTGACATAGAACCACAAATTGCGAAATAGCTTCAAAAGTGCAGGTTCCACATATACAGTAGGATCAAAATCTGAACATATTTCAGCCACAGCAAGAAGTAGAGGTCCTAGAAAATCTGCCCCAAGTCTCTGCCTGTTTGAAAAAATATATATATTACAATGAAAGTTTATCCAAAAAAGTGCAACATATTGCAGAATCATGTTACCAAGATACGCCCCAGCTGTAGGAGATAGCCCGAAGCAAACAAATAATGTAACCGAGCACAGTACTTATCACAAGGGGTTGAAGCGAATGAGCAAGACATGCAGCAGCTGACCACATCGAGTGAGAGCAATTTAGGAAATCCCAACAAGCAATGAGCTGAAGAGCTCATCACAAATTCTCAACTTTTGCCAGACACAGAATAAACATGCTTCAGCAGCTTCTATCAACAATGCCAAAGTTCCATGCAACAACCTCTTTGATGACTTCCCATTCAAATCAACAGATGAAAGACTCTTGATTTGTAACCCCACTGCAGCTTGGTAAACCGACAGCTCTGTATTGATTCTAACTTTCAGTAACTGCCCCTGTTCCGTCCAGTCACGCTTCCATATCTGCCAACAAACCCAAACATTTTAACCAAATTTTTTCATTCATCTCTATAGTTATTTCATCAAGACATCAATAAATTTCGAAACCAAAAGGATGGATACCCATGAATTTTACCTTTAGGAAAGCCAACATTGATTGGAGTTGCTCCTTTGCAAATTGCGATGGCCCTCATTTGTTACAAAAGCTTAAGATCAATCTGGACTTTATCCCAATCAGCTTGAAAGCAATCTCCTGTTGTTGAAGGCTCTCCACAGGCTCTTCTCAAAAGAGGCTACCAATCGCTTGTACGTTGCGGAACCGCCTCGTCTTCATCATTGAACCCAATATCAGCCCCAAATATATCCACATTGCTCTTCCACGCAAGGCTGCCCCTTTCATCACCAATCCTTTCGGCCACAATGCACTGGTCGCCTCATCTGTAACCCTTGAAGGGTCACCGCTAGAAGAACCAGAGGCATTGCTGACCTCATTCCTGGACTGTTTCTCTCATTTGATTGATAATGGTTTGCACTGAGTGGCGAACACTGAGGCGATGACGCTTCAGGTGTTATCGAAACTAGCTCCCTCGGTGAACTAGGAACCGAAATTTCAAATCGATCTAGAAGAGTGGACACTAATCTGTTTGCATTAGAAAGAAGAATTGGATGAAAATTCTGCGACAGAGAAACCCCCAAATCTCCACTGGCATTGTTAATCGCCGACATCACAATCTCTCCCGTATACTCCGCAACGGCCATGGCAAAATCCGAGGACAACTCACTGGCTTCATTCACATAACTCAGGAAATCAAAAGATTGAATCGCTTCCAAACGACTGTGGCAAAAAAGATTGGGCAATAGAATACGGAATCGACCCAAACAAGACGATGACGCTTCAGGAGTTGTCGAAACTAGCTCCTCGGTGAACTAGGGACCGAAATTTCAAATCCATCTAGAACAGTGGACACTAATTTGTTTGCATCGGAAGGAAGAATTGGAGGAAAATTCTGCGACAGAGCATTCAAGAAAACCTTGAAACCCCCAAATCTCCACTGACATTGTTAACCGCCGACATCACAATCTCTCCCGTATACTCCGCAACGGCCAATGGCAAAATCCGAGGACAACTCACTGGCTTTATTCATGTAACTCAAGAAATCGTACGAAGCAATTGAATCGCTTACAAACGACTGTCGCCAAAAAGATTGGGCAAAAGAATACGGAATCGACCCAAAAAACCCTAGGACTGCCGGTTAGGGCCTCATGTCGTCGAAATTGGGGCATTTAGAAAGAAATCTAGCGGTGGCGAGTACAGAGTCAATTGGTGGACATCGTCCACAAATCCAAGCCAATTTATCAGCAAATTGCGAAGGATTTTGTGCGATCAGATCGCAGAGTTCGATCATCGACTCCATTGCTTTACAATGCTGAATATTTTCGGAGAGGAGAGAGAGAATCATCTGGTGGTGGAATTTAGGGTTTACGGACATAGATCGTAGGCGGAGGTTCGTAAATTGGGACTCAGGAGGTCGATGTCGTCTGCTGAGTTTCTGATTTTATATATATATGTTGTTGGTTGTGTCTCTCTGACGAGATCATTGGTTTTAAATCTCTGATTTTGTTTCCTTTTTCTTTTTTGTTACCGTTGCCCCAAATTTGGAAAGTTGACTCCATTGCTATACTTTCTTTACCTCCAAGTTTTCTCAATTGACCGTTTGATTCAATTTTTGTTACTTGACATCAATGAATTAGGTCCCTAATTAAGTCTCTAAATTAGATATTATAATATTATTATTTATTTTTTATTAATAGGTTTTTAATAGATTTTTATATATTTAATGATGCAAGAGTTCTTAGAGAGTTTCTATAATTATGATTAGTTAGGTGAAATAAATTTTTAATTGAACGGTTGTAATTATTTAAATTCTGAAATTAAGTTTAAATAATATTTTTTTTCTTCTTTTAGGTCTCTATGCTTTGAATCGAGCCTGATTTAATTACAAATGTTTAATACAAATTTGGGATAATTTCTTTTAATAAGTTTTATTATTTTTAATAATTGATTTGGTATAAATAGTTTTTAAACCACCAAAAAAAAAAAAATTGTAGTTAGAAGGGTCGTGAGTTTTTCATTAAATTCATTCTCCTCAAAATGTTAATTTAAATGTAGTCACTTTCAAACTTATTTCTCAACTCATTTATTTTTGAAAACGTTGCTTTAAATGATGAGATACAAAATGAGTTAAACACTCACCTTTCTTCTTCCACTTTTCTTTTCTACAACCAGCCCATTATATCTAACCATCGTGGACGCCTCTTCATATCTCTTTGATTTACCTTAGTTCACTGTCAATATCCACCAGCAACCACCTATACTTTTTCTTTTCTTCCTTTTCATCTTCCAACCGGTCGTCGCCCATTACCACCTCTATTTTGATTTTTTCAAATGAAGTGAGTTGGACTCAAATCAGTCTTAGATTTTCTGTTTTGATTTTATGTGAATTAGTGTTGGGTACTTGTCAGTGTTGTTGATGGCAGTGTGTTGTTGGTGATGGGTGATTTGGATTTTGGCATGTTTGGTGAGGAATAGAAGAAAGATTAAAGAGTGGTAATGTAGTAACGGCGATGGAGGCGCAGTTACAATGCAGAGAGGTCTTTGGCAATGACACCAACGGTGGTGTCCGATTTCGATTTCATTTTGATGTCAGAATTTAAATTGAAATTTTGTCTTCGAATTCTGATTCACAACAGCATCGCACTCATGCCACAACATTGAACTGGTGCAGACTTGCTGAAGAAGAAGATAGAGTAAAAATGGTTGAGTGCATTGCTTTTGTATACCGACAAATGACACCCCTACAACTATCTCTTCGAAAACCAAGCTTGCATTTTATGAGGATTCCAAGAAGCCAACTATCTAAATTGCAACACGGCAGCAGTAAAATGACATTATTCAGTCACTTTATCTACCACACAGTGTACGCAAAAAAAAAACACTCTCTTGGAGGCTTAAACGATAGTAGCTCCTGTTGTTCAATTGAAGAACATATGCTGAAAAAGGTTGGTATTTTCCATGCAACATATTAGTCTGCAATGATACCTGGTCATGATATGCATACGGTTGCTTGATAAACAATTATTGTAATTGTTCAAGTTTATTGTCTCATTAGATTTATTATTTTTCAGAAGTTCGTTAAGAGGGAAAATGGCTGGATTGGAATGAAGGGCATTTATCTTTTTGAAGTGTATCTTTGGAGCCAGAAATATTTTCTATTCTTATGGGTTGGAAGGCATTTACATTCCAGAAGAAGGTGGAGGAAGAAAATTGAAATCATTAAACGTGTGGAAATCAATTCTTTTTATGTCGACTGTAATGCAGATGACCTTATTTGTGCCCAAATAAAGGTGTAGGTGTCATGTGTTGCTTAGATATTCTGAATATAAATCTTGACAATCGTATTGAGGCCAGACCACAAAGGATTTATCGTTCATGAATACTCTAGTCCCAGCGTAGATGACTTGCCTATCACCAGGGAAGATAGCCGAGGTGTGTGAAAATTGGACCAAACACTCTGACCATTTGAACAAAACAAATAAAGCCTTATATTGAAGCTGGAAATGACCATAATTTTCCAAAGATAACCTTTAGGTAGGTCCTCTGATGAGCCCAAATCTAACTGAGTCAGACCCAATAAATCAAGTTAACCCAAATCAACTAAAAGACAGATCGAGCTCAGTTCGTGAATTCAACCCAACCCAAGGTCCGAAGAGTTCAAGAAGAATTAGAGCACGTGGAGAGAAATCATCGGGATACACACCCTCGAGGATCAAGGCTACCTTAATTGCACTTACCTTTTGTAGCTATCCTCTCCGAAGACCTAGTACCTTCACCCTCACGTTACCGCCTCAACCAAGTTTCTGTGCCTATAAATTGTAAGTCCTTTCTACATGAGAGGACACAGTGATCTCACCACACCTCTCTACACACTTTCTCTCTCCTAGCTATTGTACCACTCTTGGAGCTAGCCTTGTCTCTCCCTTTCTCTTACTTTATTTCATCAATAAAGGTTCACCAGCCACTGTAGCCATTTCTCGGAGTGGAATAAGTCATTCGGACTGAACCACTATATATCTGTGTGTTGATCAATATTATTTTTTTGCCATTGATTACTTTATTAATTGTCTATTAATTATACCTTATCACATACTCGACTGTTGATTTTGCACGAGACAGTTTTGTGCATCAACAGTTTGGCGCCATTTGTGGGAATCGACCTAAGTTTTCTACTACCTTACTACTTCATGGTAATCACGACCAGTCGATAAGTCAACAACCGGGAAATAACAACCTGCCCCCCCCCCCCCCCCAAAGGGGCTCCACCTCCCTCGCACCCTTGGAACCATCTGCTACAACGACTCCCGTCGTCGGACAATAGCTTCTATA